ATGAAAAACCCTCTCGTATTTTTTACTACAGCAACTGCTGTCCTCAGTTAGCAGATCCAAACATTTCAGACAGTACACGGTACAGTTATACAGGACTGGCAGATACTAAAGATAGAAAAATGTTTATAAAATTCGAAGAGAATTAAAATTAGGTAAGCGTCGTGTAGTAAATAAAAAAGCAGTAATAAACGTAAAGTTGCGATTAGAACGTAGGAATAGTTCACTCTACAACAAAATTCAGACCAATTCGGAAAGCCGTGGACACCGACGTTACTATGATGACATTCTGAAGCGATACAGTGAACAGTGTAACAATCAGTATAGGCACTGGGAAGATCCACACTGCTGAAGAATATAGGAAAACAGACGAGACTAAAATGTAACTATGACTAAAATATATGACACCAGGTTTTCAAAACCTCTAAACTTGAATTTTTCCTTAACGCTCAAATTTTATGGCCTAAATTTGACTAAGTTGTCGGCATTATATGATTATTATTTAGGCAACAGGGCACCTGAAAAAAACAAAAAACACAGCATCAAGCATTCTGACGGATCGCCAGTTATCTAATCATTGTTTAAATCACGAAAATATTGATAAAAATTATTTGTGTCTACTGAAAACAGTAAGGGATCTACAGTTTTTACTGATCAAACAGCAATTAGCAGTCAAAAGCGTTTAAACTTACTTCTCCGCAAAATATGGCTATAAGGTATAACGTCAATTTTTTTTCAGATCTTTAAAATTTTGTTTCCGAGTAAATCAAGTATGTATTAATGTAAACAGAAAGATGTCAGTTTGTTGGCTTACACTGCATCAATAATGTACGAATAATATATGGTGACAGAAAGACAAACATTAACCAATTAAGATGAACTGTAGAAGTTTTTTAAAACAAGGAAAAGAAGTTGCTAAAACAACTGCTTGAAGAAAATTGCTGTGAAAAAAGGGAAGAATAAAAACAGGTGAAAAAAAGCTTTTTCACTTTCTTACTAAATCATTTATTTGCAAAAATAATTTTGAAAAAATTAAAGGAAAAAGTAAGCTAAAAAAAGAGAAAAGTAGAATCTGTACCCTTCGTTATCGATTAGTTAAACAAACTGTTTGGTTTTTTCTTTGATGGAGTCGGAATATTTTTATATGATGCGACACAAACAGATTTAGAGCAACACCAAGATGTTGCTTTTATTTGTTGACATTTGAAGGCTAACCAAAAAAGCCACAGATACCAGCAGACTGATCGCAAAACAGTTTGAACTGTTTTACTTTTGTCGCTAATACTGTTGCCGTTTTTGCTGTTGTTGCTGCTGCCGTTGCTGGTTTTGGTAACGTTGGCGACAACGAAGACAGTAAAAACGGCTTTTCCAAATCGATTCTGTGGCAAAAGTTTTTGAGTTTTTACTTCTTCTGTTTTTCTCCAACCCTCTCACTCTCCGTTTCACTCTTTACCTCTCCTTCATCTTCATCTTCATCATCATCATCTTTTTATTCTTCTTCTTCTTTTATACTGCTTTTTTGGTAACTGCGATAACGATGATGATTTTGATGTGTATGTCTATGTTGAGTAAACAAGATTCTGTGACCAAAGAAGGGGCTGTCCGACAAGAAGAGACAGCCAGTGGATGGAGGGGAAGAACGCAAAAGAAAAAGATGAGTGGGAAAAATTGAAAAAGAGACTTCTCCTAAACATACAATCAAAAAAAACTGGGAGAAAATTTTTGTGTGACCATATTTGATGGGCAATTATTAAATTTCTTGTTTTCTTGCCTTCTTTTACTTGTAGAAAATTTCCCTGCATTTGACGATGTTCAGTAGTTGAACGAGTGTTGTTTTTTGCTTTTATAGCTTTTGACAAAGAAAGTACGGAGATTTTTACAAAAAAAAAAAAAAAAAAA